AATGAGGATGGTGAAACACTGGAACGGGTTGCCCAGAGAGGCAGTGGAGGCCCCATCCCTGGAAACATTCAGGACCAGGTTGGACAGGGCTCTGAGCAACCTGATCTAGTTAGCGGTGTCCCTGCTCGCTGCGTGGGGGTTGGACTAGATGACCTCTAGGGGTCCCTTCCGACCCAAAACTTTCTATAATTCTATGATTCTATGCTGGCCCTTCATTTCTGCCTGCTTTTGGGAATATCTGTCTGGACTTCTTAGAGCCATCCTCAAGTATCTGACTACTCTGTATTATCTGGCTTCTATAACTGTACTTACTAACTGTAACCATCTGGCCACTCTGTATTATCTGGCTACTGTAGCTGCAACTATCTGTAACTGTAAGTGTACTTACTAGCTGTAACTGTAACCATCTGGCTACTCTGTACTATCTGAATGTTCTCATTATTCACTCAGCTTGTTGCTGATGATTTCTTGTTTCATTATTTTACACATAAGAGCTTGGTCTGTGTTCATGCTTAGTAACTGCGGGGTTGCATCAGGAGTTGTTTTAGCACAGCACGCTTAGCCTTTAAAGGCAGGCTACCGGTTGTGTGTGTATGTGTTGTGTGCTTGTTTGGGAATTTGTTTTTTAAACAGACTTTTTTTCCTCCTTCTAATTAATTTATTGATTCATCAGTCCTCCTTTTCTAAGCCCTATGAGAGCATAGAAAATGCTTCGCAGTTGATTCCCTCTACTATTTTTTGCATGTTGTGAAAATCTTTAAAAAATTGGGCTTTGCTTGTGTTCTTGACAGAAGACACTTCCAAGCAGCATCAGCTGGTTTTGCAGACATTGGCAAAAAGCTCAGGTGTAGGTGATGTGTGTTACAGAGGTATTTTATGCGAAATAGTGTTTCCACTTAAATATGATGCCAGCTTCAGTTACAGGCAGGTCTACAATTCAGTCGTATTATGGCAATACTAACCGACTGAGGGAACAGGGAGCAGATCAATAGCTGTTCACTAGGGAAAGCAGCAACACAACCTTATTTTTACCCGTTTCCCCCTTGGAAGTGTATGTATGTAGCAGGTGCAATATGCCCCAAAAGTTCCCCAATTCATGCAATTTTGGACAGACGGGAAGTCCTGAAGTCCTTGAAGAAGTTGCTTTCAATTTACCCCTTGATCTCATGAGCTAACCCTACCTCTT